ATTCTAGTTGCCTTAATTTGTATCCAAAATCATTCCCACACTAAAGAATTGACCTTAGAATTTAAGAACAACTAAGAATCACTCGGTACGACCATATACACAAATAAGGAATAGTTCGGGCCTTAGCTTAGAAATTTTCGGGGGTGTTAGAAGAACTTTGAGGTAGAGGCTCAAAATGGGTAGTTTCTAGTAGCAATCTCCAGTTCCAAACTATGTTCCCCCGTAGGTTGTCTTAAATGACTTAGCTAGTGGATCCACATAGCATAAATGAATAATAAAGAGTTCTACCTTGACAAAGTAAACTATCTCTTTTTGGTGTGAGGATTACACCGGATTCCATGTCATTTCCCGCACGGTTTATTGTTAGTTAAAGCTAATATCCACAAAATAACTATGATTTTTCTTAATTCTTTACATCATGTCTTTTTATTAATGTTTGACCTTGCCTCATTCCTTTATGATTTTTGCTTTCTAAACTTTTAAACGTTCTACTTGGTTATGCATTACACAATTCTAGCCCATTATGATATCATTCTATGCATATATCCCCATACTTAGTATATTCCTTGTACTAATGCATATTTGTGTCTATATTATCTCATGATATAGGGTCGGACGTTCCTCCACAAGCTCGTGACTAGTGGATTTCTTTTGCTTGAAGATATGGCGAGTCCTCATGTTCCGATGGCCATGTCACCTATGCTATGTTTCTTTCATCACCTATGCTATGTTTCTTTCATGATTTTGTTTCAGACTTTTACGTGGTGTATGAGTTACATCTCAACCACTCTTATACTATTTTAGAAAAGTTTGTCAAGACATAGTTACAGTCCGCACTTATGTTCAGACTCTTGCTATGATATGAGACGTTTTTACCTATTCTCTCTTTAGTTGTAATTCCTTATGCATTATGTATGTCAAGTGACTTGTGTAGGGCCTTTCGGAATCATATATACCATGTCACGTTTAGGGTATACTTTGGGTCGTGACATCACCCTAACCCAAGACAAAAGGGAATGAGGAAGAATGCATAGGTTTACCACCTAAGGTGGATAGTTTTTTACAACCTTAAAATCGACCTTGAGATCCGTAGACTGTCCTCTAGGAATATAAATGGTTATTGACAAAACTTAACGATTAAGCAGGGAAAATAATAAGAATAGAAGAAGTGCGTTGCATTGTGATCAAGAAGATTTTTCTTGATAATCAAATACTTCAAAATAATTAATAATATTTTTGGTGGAGATCAACTAAATCCTAAGGAGTTCTGCATCATCTTAGTCGAGAAATACGCTAATTCAACATTTAAATCCCCAAGATAATTAACAAAAAATAATCAAGAAAACAAATAGTATTGTACCACATTACTTATCAATAAAATTAATTACTCCTATGTTTCTTCATATTTATTTTATAATTGCAATTATTTTCCATATAAAAAAAAATTGTTGCAAACACTTGCATATAATTATTTTAAATTTGAGAGTTGAATGAGTACAATGCAAAATGAGAAGTTTGTGTTAATTTATTCATGAGTGATGTGTATTCTGCGTAACTTGCGAAGGGGCATATAGATCCCCAATTTCAAGGGTCTATCTCAAAGAAAATATAGCTCCCTTCTATAGTTCTATTGCTTATTACTTCTTACGAATGCCCTGGTGCAGAAGTGTGAGAGGTTGACTATATATATGAATGATTTTAGGAGAGGTATAGATAGGCCGAAGAAGCTAAGTTTAGGGAGATGTGATTAGAAAGGAGATGATGCAGTTTCAATTTATTGAAGAAGTGATCTTAGATAAAGAGTATGAAGGACAAAAACTAGGCAATTTTTTTTAGTAGATATCAGTACATTGTCTTGCGGTTCGTTCATATTAGTAGTCATAGTATTGTTCTAGTAATTTCCTGTCTTTTGATTATCATTTTGTTTTGTTGTACTTTATGTTCAATTACTATCTGTTATTTTTTTGTTATTCTTTATATTTTTTTGTACTTTCGTTACTTTGTTTCAGACTGCACGCTTTGAAATGCTTTTCCTTGAGCCGATAGTTTATCGCAAAAATAACCTCCTTACCTCTAAGATAAAGATAAATTTTGTGTATATTTTACTCTTTCCAAACCTAATGACTTCGTAAGATTGAAATGAATATATTATTGTTGTTAGGTAAGCGAGTCGTTATCCCTTCTGCATCACTATAACCCCAAACCAAAAGTTGCAAGCATTAGATGACAATGGGGCGGGGCGGATGCGGGGTGGGAACGTTTAAGGTTGTGCGGGGTGGGTGGGATGTGAGGCAAGTTGAAGAGGATTTTTTAAAAATTATTGTGGGGGTATATGTGATTTTATATGAGTTTAAACTTAATTTTAATTTTTTTACATGTTATAAGAGTGATAGAACATTATTTATTAAGATAATTTCTTTAAAGCTACTAAAATATTCAAGATAGTAAATGAAAATGATTCAATAAAAAATAATTCAATTTCTTACATTTTTCCCATTGACCTCTAAAAAAATTAAAATTTTAAGTCACTATCCTATTAAATTAATACAACTTAATGAAAAAATGAATTTATTTTTATGAATTTTATTTCTAGTATCAAACTTAACTAGAAAAAAATATTAAAAAAATTATGCGGGACGTGTCTATGCGGGGCGGATTGAAAATGAAAAAAACATTATGCAAGACGGAGCGGGGCGAATTAAAAATTTTACTGGTTAAGCTCAACCCGCCTCCGCTCCCGCCCCATTGCCATCCCTATCTCTACCATAAAAAGTCTATGGCAAAATTAGGTAGCATCAAAACTAATGTAGTAGCCTTGTTGGATCATTCAAAATTTTACTTATTCAGCGCATCTATGAGGGGTTCACTAATAACTCCATAACCTTTTATAAACCTCGTGTAATATCTTAGTATCCCCAAAAATCCCCTCAAACATTATCTTGTAGTAGGGTTTTGGCCAAGTTTACACTGCTTCTATCTACTTTTGGATCAATTGAAATATAATTGTCACGATCCGAATCTTGTACCTAGATTACAGTGGCAGAGTCAGAAATTTCACAACGAGAGTCCAGAAAAAACACAATAAAAACTCTTTTCAATAAGTAGAACTAGTGAGATTCAAACACACGAGCACTACCTCTTTTTAAGGAGGTGAAATCACTAAGCTACAATAGCTTGTTATATTAAGGATGTCCAAAATATATTATTTAATCATTTCGTGTATCATTTTACTTGTATATACGATATTTTTTTCCGATGACCACCACGTGGCTACACCACTGCTAGACCGCGATAGGGTACTTGATGAGCTATAATATGCATAGGTGAACCCTCTAAGTTATGACATGCGAATAACAAAGAATAAAGAAAGAGAAACTAATAATATAGTTGTCTTATTAGTTAGATAATATAAGACAATTATTTTTCTACCTATATAAAGAAAAACATATTCATTATATTTTATCAAAAAAAATATTTTTCAAAATTTTTAACATTGGAACATGAAAAAAAAAAATAACACACTCAGAAACATTAACATGAAAAAAACTGAATAAATGACAAGACAAGTTAAGCATCTTTAAAGATCATATCTAGGTTCCATACACTTCTGAAAAATGGGATGAGCAATATCGTATTTACACTTCAAATCATTAGAATCGGAGATTAGGTTTATGTCTCCTCTTTTAATTTTTAGCCGCATGGTGTGATATTGTGGCCCAAAAAAATAATTTGTTGGCAACAAAATTTCAAATTTGTGATTAGAGTTACCATTTTAAGTTCCTAGTAATACCATTTATGTTTTAGCCTCATGGCAGTATTATGTATTTACATTTAGCAACTTTTTTCTTCTTGTTAGGCTTAAGATTATTATTTTTGATTTGGCAGGCTGATAATCAATAAGTCTAGTTATTATTTTTTCTTTATATTCTTCAATTGTATAAATGTATTTTCATTAGGTTGATAAATTATTATTTGGGTTAGGTGGATAATTTATTTATATAGGGAAAAAGGATAAATATACCCATAAACTATCGTAAATGGTATATGATACCCTCCGTCATATTGTTGGAACATTGGTGTCCCTACCGTCCAAAAACTAGAGTATATTTGCCTTTCACTCTAACGGAAGACTAAATAGGGACACGTGGCGCAATTCTACGGAGGAACCCGATTTGACCAATTAATTAAACTCAAACACCCATATCCACCATCGACCCGATTAACCCACCCGTATAACCCATTACTCACACTTAAACTAACCAATCCAAAAACCTAAAAAAAAATTATTGTTTTCTTTCTTCTTTTCTTATTCATTTCTTCTTCTTCAAATCTCGACATCCTTCACAAAACTAATTGAAACACATAAAATTTAAAATAACAGTATAAATACTAAAAAGTTAACAAACAAAAAAACCAAAAATTGTACGTTAAAGCGTATAAAAAAAAAAAAACTTGTTTGTTCTTTGTTATTGGCTTATCTTAATTTATTATTGATTTTTTTTTCTTCTTATTCTTCTACAAAATTCAACATATATTTTTACCACAGTAAATACAATTGAAAAAAATCATATTTTAATAATAATAATAATAATAAAACAATAAAATAAATCAATAACAACGAGAATATAACTACTTAATAATAATCAAGCTAGCTAGTTCAAAAGTATCATTAATAAAACATACCTTAACAATATACTCTGTGTGTGATGTGTTATGTCATTTTAACTGACCAAAAGAAAGAAAATTAAAATTAAAAATAATTATTTTTTAAAAACGTAATTGTAAAATGTCACATAAATGCTACGACAAGTACAAGGAATAGTAAGATTTAAAAAAAATGTTTTATATAGTTCACGAGGGTACTAACCACAAGTGTCCATAGTTTTAGCCTTTAGGTATCAAAATAATAAAATATAAATAATTTAGGGTTTTTTTTTTCTGGTAGTACCTCTATATAAATATATTCCCTACAATACATTCAACAACTCATTGATCATTCAATTACTAATCCCTACAATGCTTACGAGCAAGAAATTACTTCTTTCTTTCCTCCTCATTTGCATGGTGGTGACACCACTATCGACTAAGGCGACGACGATTACATGCAACACAGTAACCGATAAAATAAAACCATGCCTTACTTATGTGATGTCTGGTGGACATGTGTCGAAAGAATGTTGCAACTCTTGCAAATCATGTTTAGGTAACGCGACTACCATCTTAGACCGCCAAACTCTCTGTTCATGTGTAAATGACATTCTCTCCACCATCACCAAAAAACAAATCAATCGTATCACAAGTATCCCCGAAAAATGTGGTGCCAAGTTTCCTTTCAAAATTAGTAAGGATGTTGATTGCTCAAAGGTATATTGAAGAAAAAGAGGTTGATATATGATAAAAGAGTGGTTTTAGTGATTACTCTTTCTATATGTACATAATAAATAAAAATGATGTTTTCCTTGTTGTGGTTTATGTGTAACTAAAGTATATTTGAGGGATCACCTCAAATATATTTTGCTATGTAGTTTAATTATCCTTATGAAGAATAAAATGGGACCCTCATAGTTCTATCTATGAGAATCTTTGAATTTAAAGGTCTAAATAATATATATCTAAATTATACCATTTGAGTAAATATATCCTCCACTAAAAAAGTGGCTTATTTATATTCCGGTTATTATATAAATGACTTGAATTAATGTATTTGAAAGTGAAAAAAATAATTTTAATTTTTTAAATAAATTAAAATAAAAGCCACATAGGGATGAATTTGATCATTCTCGTATAATTTAAGGGTATATTTAATCATTCTCACACAGGGGCGGATCTACATGGAGGTTAGGGGTTCATTCGAACCCCCTTCGTCGGAAAATTACACGGTATATAAGGTCAAATTCTGTTTTCATGTGTATATATATTAAAATGAACCCCCCACAACACATGTAAAGAGGCTAGCTCAGTTGTTAAGGTGGTCAAGAATTCGCCTGGATGTCTTGGGTTTGATTCCACGCAACAACACTTTCCTTGATTTTTTTTTTGTTTTCTTCATTTAGAAAATCAAATAGCAAGACTGAGATAGGCTCAACATTTTTGGGTTGGAGCTTTATTATTATTATTTTTTTATTTTTTTTAATGTTATTTCTCCTTTTCAATATTCATTTGTTCGAATTTATTAGCACATTATTTTCATTTTTTGTATATTATTCTTTTTATCTCTATTGCTCATTTTATTTTTACGTAACTCTTTTTTTATATACTAATTCAAAGGAACTTTTTAAAAAACTGTCAATTATTCTTAAACTTGAAATTGAGATAGAGAAAAAATATTTTAATGATGAGTTAAACGAAACTTAATCAAAAGAATAAATTTGAAAGGCATGATTATTCATGATATTTCTTTCTCATTTTTTTGATTCTATTCTAGAGAGATGTAAACTACATTTATTTGATTTATTCGTCTTTTTTTTTACCAATAGAAAACCTTATAAATTGAACGAAAAAGGGTCAAAATTGTCCCTGAACTATGTGAAATATACCACTTATACCTTTCGTTATATTTTGAGCTCAAAAATACCCTCACTGTTATCTCTAGAGACCACAAATACCCCTCAAAAGTTAACAATCCAAATTTTTAATGACATGGCAAGCCATGTGTGACTGATCCTTCCACCTAAGCTGCCAACTAGGATTACCACTAAAAAAATTTTAAAATCTATATCTCCTAAATTGTATTAATCCAACAAAAAAAACAAGAACAAAGTTAATATTATCGAGCCATAAATTTCCCCTCATACATACAGAAGATACAGGTATTGTTATACAAAAATTCATCCTATCAAGTTAGATATATTATATATTAGTTATTTATCAAGTGGAAATATACTTGGTTAATAGTTAAACTATGATGAAAAAATAACTTTTAACGGCAATAAATATAAATATTAATAAAGAGTGGTAAATATTTACGTAATTAAAAATATAATATTTTTTATGTAATTTAAAATAAAAGATTTATTTCTAATTTTAGAAGGATTTCTAATTGTTGGAAATCCTAGTTGGCAGCTTAGGTGGAGAGATCAGTCCCACATGGCTTGCCACGTCATTAACAATTTGGGTTGTTAACTTTTGAGGGGTATTTGTGGTCTCTAGGGATAACAGTGGGGGTATTTTTGATCTCAAAATGTAACGGAGGGTATAAGTGGTCTATTTCGCATAGTTCAGGGGCAATTTTGGCCCTTTTCCGTAAATTGAATAAATGAACAAAAAATTGGCAATGTCATTTATTTATCCTTTTAATATACATTATAATATTAGTAACTCAATCCCCACACATTTTTAAAGAGTATTAAACAATTTTTAAAGTAACATATGATTGAATGAACACTAATTTAATTTATTTTAAAAATTCAAAATAAAGTAAAACAATAAAAAAATAAAACGAAAAAAACCACCTTTTTAAAAAAAAAAAAGAATCAATGAAGCAGGGTAAAAGTAGGAAGAAACGTTAAATGCGGCATGACAAGGCAAGTTAAATTTAACGGATTAAGGATAAATTTTTTCTTCCCTGATCCGTTTTGCTCCATTTTTTTATTTACTTCTTTATATGTTGAACCCCCTCCACGAAAATTCTGGCTCCGCCATTGTTCTCACATATGTATTTTTTTTATATTCTTTAATTACAATTTAGTCGTAAATTTTCTTTTGGAATAATAATTTTTGTGTGTGTGATATTGGGAAGACCTATTTAATTTAAACCAATTACCTCTTAAGTTTAATCATTACCGAACAAAGTTTATACCCATCGTTTACGTAGTTCAGTGTGAATAAATTCAAAATTTTTTTGCTTCAATACATGCAAGCTCGTATATATGTTAATCAATAGAAGGACAAATTTAAAACCCATGAAGAAATGTAATTTGACTAAAGAAGACCTTCTTGATGATGAATGAGTTGTACTCTCTCCCCATGAATCTATTAGCTTATCATTATCTCATTTCTATATTTTTATTTCATTCTTTGCTTCTATTCTTTAATTTAAAAATATGAGAAATAAAAAAAGAAAAAGTGTGAATAGAGAAAAAAAATGAGAAAATTATTGAACAAATTTTAAATTGCAGCTATAAGGGTGGTGATGAGGGATACTACGTGGTGTCCACCTCACTTAAAAGGCAAGTGTTGTATTCTTATGTTTTGATGATTTAACAAACTATGAGGTAGTAGGATCAGGTAGAGGGTTTTGATCCTTCAAGCTGTTGGCATTTAAGACTAGTCAGTGGAGTGTAGTTGTAAAGCTGTCAAACCTGCTGTGGTAGGTGGGCACAGTAACAGAGGTGCAGAGTCATTGCCCAATGGTGTATTACTAGGTTGTTTTGTCTCTCATATACAAGCGAAATATTGAAGAAACAACCTAGTTTTTACAATCAAGAATATCAAAAAAAGCAAAAGTCATGATCATTCTCTAAAGAAAGAACTATTCTCACAAGCAGCAAGTGACCTGATCGAGTGATCTGAAGATGTCTTGAGTTGACATTTGAGTTAAATTTCTCGTGCTTATTTATTGTAAGATCGATCTATTTCTATGATATAAGGGAACTTAGATCATTTCAGTTGTAATCATTGTGAAGTCAAGTTGCTACAGGTGGTTGTGTTGTGTTTGGTTGAAGTATATGTTAACTAGAGGTATTTGCTATAGTGAGCAATAAGGTTATAGATTTAAGTCTTTGTACTAGAGGTGTTACAAGGTGTAGCATTAAGAGTTTAATCATTTGTGATTACTAGAGTTGGAGTTTGTATTCACAGATTGCTTGAAGTTAGTGGAGTTGTTGAGAAATCTTGTGGGACAGATCATGATTTTTCCTTCCTTGAGCAAGGAGATTCCCACGTAAACTCCAGCGTGTTTTACTTTAAGAATTTAGTATTCTTCATGTTATTAATACAGTCAAGGACCTGGTCTCTTGACTCATGGTGGACTCATATAAACCATCAACAAGTGACATGGGATTTTAGTAGTTGTGTCCAAAATTTGCTAACAACATGGGTAATTGGGTATTTTTGTTCGAATAGTAAAATAGAAGTCAAATATAATTAATTTCGAAAGGGAAGTCTTCAAATTAAAGAAGACCAAAAAAATTTGTGTAAGAATGATTAAATATATTCTGAACTTTGCGAGAAGGATTAAATCTACACCATATAATTTCCTCTTCTAGTCTAGAATAAATGCTTATCTTACCCAAAAAAATCACTATAAGAGAACTACTCATTCAGTCTCAAGAAACAATTACAAGGTACTATTAATGTCAAAAAATATTACTTAAGTACAAGATAACTACTTGAGATGAAAAGAACAAAATTATTTTATGTAATGGATATTTTGAGATGAAAAGAAGAAATCATTGTTTTGTATTTGTAAATTTCATTTATGGAAGAGAACAATACTAATAGTACCTATAGAGGTCTTAATTCACAATTGACAAGACAAAAAGAAAGGTAGAGTTCAGTTGTTAGTGACAAATTTAGGAGTCGTTTGGTGTGAGGTATAAGGTATAACAATCTCAGGATAAAATGGAGGATTATTTTATCCTACGTTTGATTGGAGATATTAAATATTCCTTGTATTATTTATCTCATCATTTTTACCATAGTGATGAGACAAGTGTAGACATTGAAATTTTGTGGACTCTACAAGACGTGTTCAATTCGAATTGGAACTCTAGAAGGTGTGTTCAGTTTCAATTAGATTTCTTGGAGGCTACTCAACCCTAAACCTTATAAGTTCATGCCTATAAAGGGTAGTAAATTCCTTTAAAACAAATCTCAAAAAGTCCACCACAAATTCATGGAATATTCATAAAGAGATCGAGATCTCGAATATTCCACGAAAGTCATGGAATATTCATATAGAGGTCAAATCTAAATCATCCTAATTCGAGAAATACGCCACTAACGGCCCTCGAATCATGGATAAATCTTAGGAGAGTAGAATCAAGGGAGGAACAGAATTGTACCCGCGTTATAGTCAATAAAATATTCATGTTTTTTCAAATTTTATTTATGTGGTTTATTTATTTTCCATATGTTTAAAATTTATTGCAAACAACAAGTTATTTCATATACATGATGAGATAACTTATTGTGAATTAATAAATTCTAAAATAACTTATTCCTAACTAAACGAACCCGTCTTTGACTCATAGAATAGTGCTCATTATTATCAATTCATATCCCTCACAAGTCCTTTAGTAAACGGGTTTGTAAGATGATTCTTTCATTTTGACTGTCAGGAACATTTTCTAAAAATAATTTAGTATGTTTACTATTTATTAGTAAAAAGAAAATTTAGTATATCAAACTATTTTATAAGCTTATACATATTCTTTTGTAATTTAGAAAATGGAACAGATTATAAAATTTCATTATACTCACATGAGTGCGAAGAAACGAATTAGTCTAATAATAATAAGGGATAATTCATAAGAATCCCTCAACTATAGGCGAAATTGCAACGACACCTTAACTATATATAAGGGTGACAAATTAAATGATTAGATTGGATTAAATTTGGATGACTTAA